TAAAATCCTACGGAGGCATTTCATGAACTCCTCATAGGTCACAAAAGTGAAGGACCGAAAAGTTGTGGTAATAATGATATTCCTGCTTGTGGGTGAACTGTTCATGGCATTGTTACAGCTGACCCACTGTGGGACCACAGGCAAACTTGGTTTGCGAAATTGGGATGTATCTAGTTGACCAAACAATCAAAAGCTAGATCTCACCAACACACTAGCTGGGCAACTGTGGGATGGGGGGCTACTACGCGATAAAACCATGCGAACACAGCTGCTGAGTGGCAGGTAGTCAACTCAGCCGTCAGGTGTAATTCTGTAGGAACTCATTCCGACCTACCAAGAGACGTTATTTAGACCCTCGGGAATGAATGACGACTGTTAGGGAGAGATGAATCAAAATCCCGTGGACGACTGGCACAAAAACTAAGTAAATGAGAGTAATGACGGCCGCGGTGATACAGGTGGCAGGAATGAAACACGTCGACGAACAAACATGTAGCGAGACGTCAGGGGTAGTTCAAATGCAGACAACACACAGATACGGAAGGTAGGCAGTCTGGGGGATTACAACACAGCCCACATTCTAGGGGGCTGTTATTGGGTTTGGGCGAAGAAACGCAAACAGGTGAAAGCGTGGCTTCACACATGGCAATAGTGAAGCGCCACTGCCAAAAGCACATGCACGTTTCGGAGGTTGGGGCGTACGTCAGCCGTATCTCGGTCGACGACATGCAGTGTTCGAACTGCGCCCGCCGTGTTGTGACACGTGTAACGCGGCATTTAGCTAAACATATTCCTTGGGGAGGGAGCCCACTGTCTGACACGGCTTCGTGATCCACAAAGCAAGTAAGCCCCGCCTCTCTGTAGACATGGATCGTTAGTGAGAAGTGGCAGCCACAGATATGCATGACGCCGATGTTATGATTGTTCCCGCGCGTGGCATAAACCACTGAGTTTCGGGGCATCTTTATTCCTTGATACGAGGTGCTGGACCCCATTGGGCTCATAACGGTATGGCTGCCTGCAATAAAGCGTTCAGCTGTAGCACCCTTCCGGTGCCTAGCTGCCATGCCACCCGAAGGAAGCACGAGGGCTGGGATACTGCCAGGTTGCCCAAGCCTAGACAGGGGAAGTCGAGTGGCGGAGGTCGGATTCGAACCGCGGACCTTCAGGTTAGTAATCCGCGCTCTAACCACTTCGGCCATCTCGCTATGCTGTATGAAGTACCGTTCGGCTTTACTTAGCACCGAATACTAATAGTTAGTAAATATGGTCGGACAGCCTGCATCCTAAAAAGTAACCTGAAATCGAAGTCACAGATTACAGACGACCTATGCTGCTATCCTTGTGTACTCGACAGTATCGCGATAGTTTATGGGACATACGTGAGACAGTAGCGACGCAACCTCGGGAAAAAGATACTGACGAGGCCAGGCACAAAGTACACTGGTAATTTGGTTATCCGAAACATACTCCCAAAAGGTGAAAGGATGCATCAAAATCACTCACTTTCATGATTTTATCCAAGGGATTCTTCGTGAGCAAGATAGTCGGTTCAATGAAATAGCCTGTCTTGTCGTCTGTGCCTCCACCAGCAATCACCTCGATATCTGGACAGGACTTGGCATGGTTCAGGTAGCCCGAGATTTTGTCGAAAGCCTGAAATTAATACATAAATTTATAGACAGAGGAGACAGTTCACGTGAAGCGAGCTGCTCTGTTCACAACGTGTGCTGGCAAATACCACTGCCATCCTGACCTGTAAGCCTGATGGATTAATTCAGTTTTTCCCCCCTCTTAGGAAAGGAAGAACAAAAGGATTAAGAAATTGATAGCTTTATATTGTCAATTTACGGCAAGGTATGTTGATAATTGTCCGTGAGACCCCGCTTATGAACGCTATTTTAACATCCCCAGCACTCGTATCTCTCGAAACACCTGTTTGTAGAAATCCTCCAAGAGCTCACTGTACATTAACAGGTTGGTGAAGATTGACACACGATTAAATTCTCATTGATATCCTTGTTGTTTCTAGTCTTATCAGTTTCATCAACGAGTTGAATACTAGAACAACTCCACAAAACGATGAAACGTTCAGCTGGATGGATTTTTCATTGGCTCGAGAGTACGTGTTGCAAGAGCGCTGAATTCGAGTGTGACCTAACCAAGGTTGAACTCGATGGAGGCTTAGAAGAATACCGATCGCAGTCAGGGAACATGGCACTAGTGCACAGACCTCGAGACACACACGATGGTGAGATCCCAACAGAGGTTACAACCCTACAATCGGGTGCTGTCGATTCGGACTACAATAAACATGACTATAAAGGAATATCTTTTATGGCTAGGATTCAGCAAAAGATGTCCATATGTATAGTCAAAACCGAAAGTCTACGGAATACCTCAGTGCAGTGAAGTGGACTATATGGAGTCTCATTGAGTCCAAGACTCTTCGGATGAGAACGACGGTGCGTTTACCATCAGCAAGGTGTGAACTCATGTTCTAGCAACAATATTAGTCCCTTTACAGGCTGAGTTTGTTTCCACGCAGATACCTGTAGCAGGGGAGTAAATGTGAGAAGGGTTGGATCTGGTGTACATGACGTGTACCCAAATGATGGTTCCTTAACCGTGTGGGCCATACGACTCGTGTTCATCTCAAAGAGTAGCTGGGAATCTGCCATCTTGAAGTGGAACCGAAGAGGCGAGACACATGGTAGGTGCAACTGTAAACCACCTGATCGATAGGAAATACCAGATATGTCCAGCGGAAACTTATCAAGCGTCATGCAACCGTTCCGTGGTCGTTCATTGATCCATTACAACTAAGTTAGGAGAACCTATACTCCATCATGGAGAAACTCAAGTGAAAACTTCACCTTAACTTGAAGAACCAATAATACGTCCCTGAAAGATTGTCCAAGTGGTTAGAGCGCGAATTCACTGACCACAAGGTCCGTGGTTCGAACCAGACCCTGCCTCTTGACGTCCTCTGTTTAGGCTTGGGCAACCTGGCAGTATCCCAGCCCTCGTGCAACCTTCGAGTGGCAAGGCAATTAGGCACAGCGACAGCTGAACGAAGAGAACCGAAAATTCGTCTGAAAGTACTGCTGAGTGAATAAGAATGAATAGTTATCTGAAAATTTATTCCTTCTCAGTTTAGAAAGTTTCAAAATCTTCCTTCAATTTTTTTCGTGCCCGTCGCCTTCTGTTTTGATTTTTTCCATTTCCAAACCATCCGAGCGAAATAATTTCATTTTATAGCTTTAATGTGCCGTAGTGTTATTTTGCGTTGGAAACTCTTCCTATTTCTGTTTTATTTCATACAATCAGACACTATTGTGTCTTGCCATTTTAATGCACACCGTGGCTATATGATTCCACTTACCATCTACGCCCATTGCTCATTGCTCTATTTATTCACCACACGTACTCTTCTTTTTACCCTGGCCGGAAGCACAACAGTCGAAACCCGACAATGTTTCATCTTTGGTTTAATCTTTAGTTCAAACTGACCGGCCGAACATCGAGAATCCTGCTACCGCACTGGATTAGTTGCTGTGGTCCCCCATTTATCGCAATTTGAAGTTTCCTTATCATGTACAAGGGAATGTGCTATTTTGCCCTTCCGTTTTGCTTTTGTGCTCAACCCTTGAATTCTAACGATCTGATCTTTTCTCGCCTTAATAGGTCCCTCCAAAAGTAAAGTAAACTGCTGGTTGTTGTGTTGCATTTCTTGTGCCGGTTTGGGTCTGATCAAGTCTACTTCCGATATATCCCACCACCCATTACTGCCCTTAATTCGCGCAATCCCCAGTACCCTGCAATCCCCGCAGGCTTCACTTATTCTGACTGTAATATTGTAGTCACATTTGGCGGTGTGGCGTTTTGTACCTTTATTTTACTTCCATTATAACACTACGTATTTCATCAATTGCAGAATCGATTTTTGTTTGAATTCGAAAAACTACAAAAACGCGCACTTGTACAATTTCATATAATACAATCGTGGTCACGTGATTTGACTCTCTCTTCTGATTTCCCTCGCGCTTGCAGCGGTCATTCGCAAGTCTCATGTACTACTCTGGTACCAAAACATTTCAGACATCTTCGGAATCTATTATACGTGCGAACTGTTCAGAAGAAGACCTCTGTACCAACATGATTAGACTATTGTTTATTCGCTGACCTGGGCCAACGACGAACTATTTTAAAGAGAACAATTGTTAGTGAGTCTGTTCCATCTGACTTATTTACTTTTGTGTACCCAACCTAGCGTAATTTTTTTTTATTTCTTTGCCTCACACTCCTGGTAAACTAGCCTATTGGGTAGCCAGACCACTACAGCGGTATGCCACCCACTAGTTGAGAATAGACCTTGTTTTATTTATCAGTGATATTATTTCAATCCATCCTTCACCAAAATTTTGTTCTCACTTGTTCATTTTCCCCCAACCCTTCTACCTAGCTTTATTAATTCAGTGACGCCAGCCAATGTTATCCTCTCAAGTTTGCAGATGACAACACTTCTGATCCCAATAATTTCGAGCTTTCTCTTGATACCCCCGTTTATGCAGCCTGCCGTTCTGCGTTGTCACTTCTGCCTGCAGCTCACTGGAAGCACACCCAAATTATTTTAGAAGTTGTGACTTCTTCGGGGAGTGAGCCCTATCCAGCCCTATGTTGCTCATAGCAGTTTGTGTAAGTGAGCGAAATTCCAAGGTCAAGGACCACCATCAACTCCTGTTTCTTTGTCGGTTTACGATATATTTGATACAATCGCCCTTTGGAATATTTGGAGTTCTTATGTGTTTTCTAAGAATAAAATAACATGCACGGAATATCCAATATGAATTCCACCCGATAAAATACATCAATAACGTTTATTTGCTTTGTACTCCTGAGATTTGACAAAAGAGATTAATTTGCTTGGCGAAATTCGTCACAACACATTTTTCTATGGTGTTCAGCTTCCATCAAGTACAACATTTTTAGACAACAGCATGAGTTGTGTAGTGGAGATTCGGCAGACATCTCTGTGGATGATTCCATCTCCCATACGTGCATAACGGATTGCGGACAATACAACGTCAGGGGGTAAATGTAGGTAAATTATCAAAATAACGGTAGAATTCTTATTGGGAGTACGGCGCTCCACAGGTGGAATACGTCACAAAGTGGTCACCATTATAATGGTAGTCGTTGTACGGATCTCGGCTACTTATCGTAACCGCACACATTCGTGTCTATGTACTCGCAGCTGACCATAAGACCCCAACTGTAAATAATAAACTAATCCAGCTCCCACTCCAAACATTTCATCCATGTGCCAACCTCATGCCTGAAAAATACACAACCACCATTGGCAGATAATTTATCCGTTTATTGGTTGCACCGGTACAAACGTATTATCTATTCAATCTAGCTCACGGTTTCGGGAAGCCGCTCTCACTCTGCAGAGTTTCTGAAAGGTAAAATGCTAAATCAATCAGGACTCGTATACAGTCGCATATAAAGTACACAATTAAATAAGTTTGTAGCAGCAAACTTGCCAGGTCCACTGCCCACAATTCCCGATCGGTGTTTACGCCGAAGTAGGAGTCCCCCTGTTATAAAGGTAGACCAGCCAGTTGTTCAATTGGTCCCGTTGGTGATAATGAAGGAGCCGGGTTTACATCGATTATTTAACGAGAGGTTTCGGCAAACATCATCATTAGACTAGGTGAAGTTCAAGTCATATAAGGGTGTAAACCAGCTAGTCGTAAAAGCAAGTGGTATATACCTGAGCCCTAGGATCCAAGGGCCACATGCGTTCTCGAAGGTTCAACCATGGATGCAGCCGTAGCGAAAACATAGTAAGTGTGCGGGTGGTTTGTGTCGAATCTGTTCATTTAAGTCTCTATATTCCAATCTCGCTGCACTTCTGGCTCCCGACGCTAATGCTATGTAGCATAATGGAACCGACCCGTAGTCATCCCACACTCAACCGCAGCAGCAATCTCACCAACTGGGGGTTTATATTTGGAAACCTACCGACTAACATGCTTGCGGTTGTGATTTTCAACTTCCGGTTATATATAAATAAGCTTCCACATTTCCAACGTACATACTGGAAGCTGCTTGCGATCTCAGGCTATTCTTGGGGTCTATTCCATGTCTGTTATATAGGTTTGGCCCCCACCCAACTTATCGTACAGTCCGAAGTATTGCAATCCATCTTCACTTCCACAACAATGTGAGCACCAACATGTAAACATCCGAATAGACGAGCAACTAAGACGTCCACAGCTAATGCGACCAACTCTCTCAGATAACGGTGATGATCGAGCGATGAACGGCAAGGTTTACTATGACTTCCTGTCAAGGAACGCGTCCTTCAAGCTACGTCTAGGTGGCGTACACCGCCAAAATGCCACCACTCCTGCTTTTGTCCTCTAAATAGTCGATTGAACTAACTCCTCGCAATCCACTCCTTTAACGCGCCCTGCATGCTAACCACATATTCCTACCTGATTTGGCCTTTTGGAATAACCAACGCACCCTATAGTGCTGCAAATATTTGTCAGTGTATGTGTAACGACCGTTTCGAATTCTTGAGCAACGAGCACCAAGGTTAGTTTTCTACCTGTCTCTTCAGGAATCGTCAACGCCGATTCACACGAGCTAGATTTTTGAGACAATGTCAAATAATTGAAGACGTCTTAGTTAAGCTGCCCGGACAGGCCAACTCTCACAGCATACAACAAAACAGTGCATACTGAGCCTGATACACAAGTTCCTTGATATTCAGGGATATACTGCTTTGACGCCAAAGGTGTACCAAATTAGTGAACGCGACCAGCGACTTGCAGATTTGTGCCCTGACCGCACTTGCCACAATACAATCAAAATTAATACGACTTCGAATGTACAGGGAACGCCTCACAAATCTGTGTGGCTTGCTTTTGGATATGACTGGCGGATTTGGTGACTACATAGCCCGGAGCAGTGCATCGGAGACCGGGGACCTACTCCCACGTTCACTTGCCTGGATTATGGTACCGTCCAACTCACGTGATACATTCCAGCTAAACTATTCCATCACCTCGGAAGTTCCACTCCCGTTAGTACTTATATCTTTGGTTTCCTTAGCCACACCAATTCCCTGTCTGTTTATACCGGTTCGCTCTAGAGCTCTTGTACGATTAGTAGACCCAACATGTGTTTGATCGCTAGTCTACTAAATACAAATCTACCCCTATCCCGTTTCATTTAATCACTTAGTGTCATTACCCTAACTGTTATAAGCGTTCCACCCCTACGGATTACATCGGCCAACTAAGAATATCACGCCGCCCAAAAAATCGCACATCCCAGCCCAATCATCTCAAACATGACCTGTATTACAAGGCGGTTCAAAAACCGAAATATGTCAGTGCAATGATGGTGTGGCACTGCCATACCCAGTTTGATAGCACACCCGCAAATATTCCCTTGCTCATCTTGACTGTACCCTATGGCTCAATTGTTCCATCGCCTGCAACAAAGAACAAACTCTTGCTTCATTCTGACTGTATCATTCATTATGTTAACAATGAAATTCCCCACGTTTATTCTGTCCCCATTTGTAACCCGCGCCCCACTTTGGTCTTTGGTGTGTATGTATGAACTGAAGTTTGTTTGTCCTTACCACTTCACCCATTGGCCTTGAGGTCATCCGGCCATTTGTATCTGACTTTGCACGTGTGACTGTCGCACGTTCACGGATTCAAGGATTCACGGGTTCACGAATTGATACACAGGATCGAGGCTTTGACTTTGCACGACTGTCGCACGTTCACGGATTCAAGGATTCACGGGTTCACGAATTGATACACAGGATCGAGGCTTTTGCCCAAGTTTCCTTCC